TGCCGGCAGTTTAATTACCTACTTTGTCAAATAATAATAATAATAATAATAATAATAATAATATTCTTCGCGCGTTATAATATATAAAATAAATAGCATATAAAAATAAAATATAAAATGAAGAGTTCATTGAACACATAATAATATTCGATACTAGTATGCATGTGCAACACGTTGAAAATGATTCGATTTCATGCGCAGGAGTAATAGTTTATTGATTGACTATGGTAGTAGTATATGTGTGTGTGTGTGTGTGTTTTTTTTTTTATCTTCAATCACCCACCTCCCCTATCCCCCCTCCCCCCGATCCTCATGAAAAATAGCTGAGAGAAGGTGGCGAAGGGAAAAATCACTTTGCATAAACGTACATAGTCGGGGATCGATAAGTAGGAGTGAAAGAGAGAAAGAGAAAGAGAAAGAGAGAAAGAGAGAAAGAGAGAGTGAGTTTAAAAACTTCTATGACCTACTTTTCCCCATTGCAAATGATTCCTTCGGAGTTTGAATACGGCCGCGGGACAAAACGACCGTTGTCTAAGGATCAGAAAAGAAGAACTTTTCTAAAGCCGCGAATCCTTTTCGATGGCAAGCTACTGGAAAAAGAAAAGGACAAAAAAGATAAAGAAAAAAAAGAAAAATAAAAGTAAAAGGAACCCATTTTATACGCTCGACTTACTCGTTTGCGCGTGTTTCTAACGACTCTTTCTCTATGCGAGCAAAGATAGTAGTCAGCTTGTAAAAACGTTAAGTTTGACTGCACAAAAGGAAGAACACAAAAAAATACACTTACACACACACACACACACGGAAAGAAAGAGAGAGAGAGAGACACATGCGCGTACACATACATTCATGGAATAAAAAAAAAAATAGGAAAAAAAAATAAAAGGAGATAAGAAAGGCTGAAGTTTAAGTTCACGAAAATCGTGCTCTGGCGTTAATTATCCAACCGTTGAATCCCCTTTCGATTATCCACGGTATTTAAACCTTTAGAATGTTAAATTGATTTTCTTCTTATTATTTCCGGAAAGTTTAAAACCTCCCTCACCCACCCTCCTCCTCCTCCTCCACCCTATTTTCTCTAAAGTAACACTCGTTCGTACGAATAATCGTTGTTGCATTTGACGATAGACAAAATCTCGGATTTTTAATTAAATCCTGTAACATTAAAAGAGAGCTATACATATTTATATTATAATCTTGCAAAAAAAAAAAAAAAAAGAAGTAATCGTCAATACCGGTTGACTTTAGGTTCGTTGAGTAAGGGACAAAAAAAAAACAAAAAAAAGAAAAAAGAAAAAAAAAATTTAAAAAGAGAAGGATTTTGTCAAATATATTATATAATCTCGTTTATATTAAGTAGATTTCTTTTATCTCTCGTGGAAATCGTAAAGCTTATCCTCCCTTTCCCMCCCCCCTCCCTCTCCCTCTCTCTCTCTCTCTCTCTGTTAAACGAGAAAAAGATTACAATTAGATTTTTTTTTAGCGTTTTCATGCTCTCGTCACGAGTTTTACGTCCGGTGAAACGCGCAAGTTGTACGATCTTATTACTTCTGAAGGATGAACAGAATCTCTGGTAGAAAAGGAAGGAAGGAAGGAAGGAAGGAATGGAATGGAATGGAATGGAATGGAATGGAATGGGTATAGAATGGGGGAGGGGGATGAGATGGTATGGTATGGTATGGTATGGAATGGTTGGTTCCTCCTTGGCCGAAGTAGAGAACCGGATTTTCGAGCGGTCGGAAACGAATTTCTGCTTCGTCATCCAGCAAGAAGAAAAGACCAGTTCGAGTGTTGCCGACTGTTACGCAATTGCTTTCTTTCTTTCTTACTACGAACGATAATTATATTTCTTTTGCGAGATAAGAACGAATGAAACAACAACAACAACAAAATAAAAAAAGAAAAGAAAAGGAAACAAGAGAGAAAGAGATTAGTGCAAATGATTAATAAAGTCACGATTTTATTATATATTCTCCTATCCAATTGTTATTATTTTATTTCAGATAAATTTGAAATAATAATAATAATATTTTGATGATATAGGTTCATAGGGAACTTGGACATGAAAAGAAGTAGTAAAAATAAAAAAGACGCTGAGCTTTAATGATTAAGTTGCTGAAGAAGTCCCAATAAAGGGACGAAACGTCCAACTTAATTAAATTAAGTTCTACTTCTTTTCATGTCCAAGTTCCCTATTAACCTATATCATCAAAAAATTATAATTTTGGACGAGAGAAAATATTGAATAAATAATAATAATAATAAACGTGTCATCGTTGATTGGTTACAATAATTGTGTTAACGTTTCGATATCATCAATACACGAAAAATGAAGTCAAAAAATTTCTATTAACATAATACTTATAAAATAATTTCGTTCATCCATATTCTCTATCTATTATAATTTTATTATTTTCATTTTTATTTATCTCTCTCTCTCTCTCATCATTTCATTTTTCTTTTTCTATCCCCTATATCCCAATCGCACAACTAAACGCGGGAAAGAATTGATTTCGTTCCCTCCCCTCACCCAGCCCCCCCCCTGTAAGTAATTGGCATAGCAATCAAAAAATAATTGAACTTTCAGAATCGCGTTTTGATGCAAATTGAGATTCAATCCAGGTTAGGGGTGACGAGGTGGCGGTGGGAGTGGGGTAGGGAGAGGGTATAACTATATAGATGAAAGAGAGAAAACAGAATGATCGTTGCTAAAGGAATTGCTTCGTTCATTTGTTATTACCGAATGAACGAAACTTGCGGAGACAGGTGGGTGATGATATTAAGGACCAAAGGAAAGCCCCAAACGAATTCACGTAACTCGTTCTTTTAGTAATTATTACTGGTAGTAACCAACAGGAGAGTGTTAAAGGAATTCAATGGAAATTCCATTATAAACTTCTATCTATTTATCTCTCTCTCTCTCTCTATCTCTCTCTCTCTTTCTATCACTCTCTTTATTTCTTTCTTCCTTTATTTTTATTACTTTCGTGGGCAGGTGGGGGGGGGGGAGGTTTTATAATCCAGTGAGCTACGTTTCCTATCCGCCCGGAATAATCTCAGTACTTGTACGCCGTTTTAACACCGTCAGCAAAATCATCCTCTGTTCTTCTTCTATTTCTTCTTCTTCTTCTTCTTCTATTCGAACTATACCAACGAAGCAAGTAACCAAGCAAGCAAGCAAGCAAGCAAGCAAGGAAGCAAGCAAGTAACGAACCAACTCAAAGCGTTCTTCTTCTCTACTCTTCCCTTCATCCGTTTACAGTAAATAGATTCCACGAAACACGATGGTGAAAAGCATCTCTCATCGAGTCCACTAGCTAGAACCACCGTTCTTCTATCCTACCTTTAATTCGCGAGACCGCACGTGCTATATTTCGCCTCGGTAACGGTATTATCAAGCAATAAAGAGAGAATGATGTAATTCACGGTTATAAGATTATATTATCAAGTAAATTCTATATAACGTTCTCGGTAATGAGAGATGATACCATACACCTCCTACATTTTCATGAAAAATATAATAAACAATTTGAAATGTATTATTATTTATATATATCATGTGTGTACTTTTGTTACATTATTAAAAATGAAAATTTCTTTTGAAAAAAAAATATTATATTTTATTTTTGGTCAACGAGAAAGGATAATATTTTTTTTTTTGTATTAATTAAGTCATATGTTTTTAATGCGCGCGTGTGTGTGTGTGTGTGTATTTTAAATTTGTATTTTTATACTATTGTTCAAATATATGAATTTTCCTCAATTAAATGAAATATTATATTTTCATTTTTATATTTGTGGATTGAAATAAATATCTTTATTAGTGGAGATACATTTTGCTTCGTCCGCGTACGAGGAAATTAATAATATACTTTTTATTTATTAAAATGGTTATATCTGTAAGAAATATTTCATTAAATATTATTATCATTGTAATTCGATGAAGATTTTATTATTGGAAACGATCAACGATATTGTGTGAATTCCCATACAAGTCGAAGATATTCTTATATTCTAATGAAACAGATCTATTAAGAATAATTAATAATGAAATATTGAATATCCGATAGAGAGAGAGAGAGATATATACAAGTAAAAATTATTATCGTAATTTGATAATGATATTATTATTATTATTTGAAACGCGATCAACGAACGATGCTTCTTCTTCGACGTACACGAAATAAATAAAATTAAGGCTAATGATTTTTAGAATTAATATACTTGTGTAAGTCAAAAATATCCTCTGTATTGTATTGAAACAGATAAACAATAGGAAAATGTCATCCCCATTGAGAAAGTTTACATTGACTCTGACATAAGCGGGAAGGAAACTTCACGATGAGTTTACTTAGGTGTTTACCCATTGTTTGCATTGAGTTTATGTTTTTTATTTAACGTAGTAGTTTCGTAGAAGATTTGATCTCTTAGTTAATTTTTTTAGAATAAGATGAAAAAGTATACAATCTTCTTGGTCAAGCTTGAAAATGTTTTTGTATATTTTTTTGTTTATTCAATGGATAAACAACGAGATAATTAAATTTTACCTTACTTAATTTAAAAATATACGATCTCTTGTATAATATTTAATTATGAAAATAAATTATTTCAATTATTATTTTTAGGGAATAAAAAAATAATAGAAGTAATAGAAAAGAACAAAACAAATCAAATATCTTATAAATTTAAATTAATCTTTCGCAGAAAGAATATTTTGTTGTTAACTTTGTTCTTTTGAAAAGAAAAATAATTGAAGTGGCATGTTATAGGACAACAAATTTACAATAAAACACAAAATGTTGAACGAATGGAATTTAGAAACCTTAAAACGTTCCGCACGCGGGGTCTCCGCAACGAGAAACGGAGGGAGGAGGCCCGTTTCAATGGCAAGGAGAAACGATGCGTGAAGTTTATACAAGCTCAAAAGCTTTTATTAAAAAAGTTTCTTCTTTCGATAGTTTTCCCTTGGTGTTTTTTCCTGTCCGTCTCTCTTTCCAACTTTTTCTTTATGATTCGTAACAACTAAAACGAACGGAAAAGTGGACCAGAGAAATTCTGTTTAATTTCGATTGGCAGATGAATATACAACTACGTCAACTACATCCCTCTACGAGCATACTTAATTAAACTACTTCGGTCAAATTAGCACGATAAGCTTCGTTGAATATTTGTTTTCCAGCAGCATGAATTTCCTCGAAACCAAATTTTTCCATGACAGTTTTGCATCGATCGTACCAAACAACCACATTATCGTAACGACTGATATCGAATTCGAATGTCTGCAAAAAATACAATCGATGATTGTATATGATATGAAACATTAACATTTCGCTTATCTCTTTATTACGATTAATTAACGTAATCTGCCACACAAGACTACCAAGAAGAAAAAAAGAAGAAAATATAATAATTTAATATCAATTGATTAAACAAACCTCTAACATTACGATGCTCGTTGATATGCTAAAATCAGCAATAGTTAAATAATCACCGGCAACGTAATCACTGTCATTTAAAAATGCGTTCAATACATCGCAAGATTTTTCTAAATTTTCTATAGCCTTCTCGTCTATGGTATTTTTTTTGCCAAAAATTATTGGAAACTACGAGATATGATTTAAAGTATTAAAAAATATATATGTAAATCATATTATTAAAAAAAACATATTAAACTTACGTAACATTTTCCTATATTATTATACAACGTGCCTATATCGAAGTATAATCTTTGATCCACTATACCACGTTTTTTTGGATCCTTAGGATATAGCGAATCATCTTTGGCATATTTTTCAACCAAATATTGCATTATAACACGACTGTTAAAATATTATTAAAATATAATTACCTAAACGAATTATTATTATTATTATAATTATATCCAAGACACAAAATAGTATACTTGCCTTTCCCACAAAACGATATTATTATCATCGATAGTAGGTATAGTGTGTTGAGGATTAATCTAAAACAAAAATATATTGTTTAACAATATATAAGTATAAAGAATAAAAATAAGAATTAAAAAAAGAAAAAAAGAAATAAAAAAGAAATTGGAAAGTAAAAGTTTATTACATCGAGTAAGTATAAAAAAGGTACCTTTACAAATTCTGCCTTCATTTGTTCACCCTTGAGTGGATTGATCGATTTCAAGTTGAAGTGCACACCTATCGCTTTGCCGAGCAATAAAATCATTCGGCAAGGTGGACTCAGTGGAAAGTAATAAAAATCAATTGGCATTTTGCCGTTTCACTAGATCTACAAAGAAAAAAACAAAATCCTTTTCTTATATTTTTTTCCTTCCCTCTCTCTCTCTTTTCTTTTTTTTTTTTTTTATTTTTATATCCGTTAGCTACTATATATTATTCTTCTTCCCTTTTTCACCAACGTATACATACACCAAAACGGTTTTTCACTTTCCGATAGGCCAGTAGTAGCAGCAGCGAGAAAACAAACGAGATTTTTATACTTTAGCTGTTAAGTTAAGACAAACTTTTGAATCTGGAAAGCCACTACCACCAACCACCACCCACCAACCAACCACTACCACTACCACCACTACTACTACCACCAGGATAGTAGATGAGAAAACCGCATACGAATTCTTGTCGCGTTTGTACCTTGTGATCCGAGGCTTCAACTCAACGAGTTGTCGAGCTTGGCAAGACAAAAGTCGATGGAATTTTATACAGTGTGGCAAACCAGTAGACTTTCCCCCTCTGGATAGGAAAACTCTTTTCGTGAGGAGAAAAAGAAATAGAAATAGAAATAGAATGAAAGTAAAAGACACAGAGAAAGAAAGAAAGAGATTTTTCTATTATTTCAAGAGATCAAATTCTCAAGAGAGAAAATAATTTAATCGACTAAAATGGAAATATAAAATAATATGAAACAATATGAAAGAAAACATTGCTTTTCATATTATCGATTAAATTTTGTAAATTGTATTTAATTTATTAAACTAATTGACATTCCTATTCCTATTCCTCGTGGTCATTATCCTCTCTCTCTCTCTCTCTCTCTCTCTCTCTCTCTCTCTATCTGTTTCTCTCGTATGTGCGCTGACTACCACTCGTCTTCTAATTTAATTGATCGATGATTATCACTGATACTCGAAATACGTAGATGCCACTCCAATTAATAGGTTTATTATCAACACGCAGGGATTCATCAAAGTATCATCGAGCTAGTCCTATTACTATTCGAAGGGGAAGAAATAAATGGTGAAGGGATGGAGGAGGAGGAGGAGGTGGTTGTGGTAGTGATGGTGTAGTTAAGGATGAGACACGTGTACGATTCCGAAGCACGACGAACTTACAAATGAAGCTAAGGGTATAATATAGCTTGGATTCATACAATATACTTTCCTATAAAGAGTTTCCATGACGATAATAGCAAACAACAAAACAAAGACCTTGGGACCTATTATAGTACTCTATCTATCTGTCTCTTACATTAGTTCCTGAAAATTTTCATCTCTTATTCGATCAATAATTATAGAAAATTATTTTAATATTATTTTATCACATTTGTAATATAATGTTTTGTTTATTTTTCGATAGAAATATTATCTCAAAGAAACAATTAATATTTCGTACGGGATTTACTATAACCGAAATTATGTGATAAAGTTATGCTAATGAATTGAAAATTTCATTTGATCGCGTTTTTCAAAGTATCTCTTTTCAAAGTTAGTCTACTGCTGTTGCTGGCTGCTGTTGCTGCTGATGATGCTGGTGGTCATCTTCAAAGAAATACGTTACTAGATGTATATTTTTGATATTTCGTAGATATATCGCATACGTAATTTCAACGTAGCAGCACTTTACGGGATGGTAACGACGAGATGCCGCCGTACCGGCAAATTATTCAAATGGAAACCCCTTTTGCGGGGAGTCGAATAAAACGAAGACGTTAATATCATGGGGCGTATTCGCGCGCAATAAATAAAAGCAGCATAGCTCTCTCTCTCTTTCTCTCTCACGGTCGAGGAAATTTCAATGTAAACTAAATATAATTGTCTAAGCAACAATGATTCCATTGTTCTTTAACTATGGACTGTTCTTTATCAATTCGAATGACGATCGTTCGAAATTGTATACGAGAAAAAATAAGAAAGATAAAGAAATGAATTGAGAGAAGTGAAACGAATAAAAAAAGGGGATAATAAGGGGGTGGGGTGGAAGGTGGAGAAAGAAGAAAAGAAAATTGAAGAAAAAGTTTGCGTTGAAAGGTTAAGTAAGGTGAGAATTTTTGAGACAACGAATAACTAACGCTCTTACAAGAGTGCTTTTAAAGAGTTGCTGACATTCGAGTAGCTAGCTTGCTAGCTTGCTAGCTAGCTAGAAAGCTCGTTGTTCACTTTTATTTGCAGCTTTCCATTTATCTCAATAAATTTCTTTCGTTATTGTCGCCACCTGGGAGACCTCGACGCGATCTCATTTTCAGCCAACAATTATATGTGAATTATTACGGCAATATAATTGTGATTCACAGCGAAACGGCACGTCATGGCATGGCATGGCACGGCAGCAGCCGTTTTAAAATGACCCAGGGTTAACATAAGCACCCTGCCTGAATTGTCGACGACTATATTCGCGAAACCCTTTTTACCCTATCCCCCTTTCATCTCTGTGTCCCACACCAACTACTTTAATTTTTATTTGATTACACTCGATCGATGTTAAAACAATAATAATTATCTGTGTCCAACCGATTTATCCTTTAAAAGTATATATACAATCTCTATATTGATAAAGACCATTTTTTAGAATTACCAACGAAAGTACAAATGAAAAGAAGCAAAGTACTTACTTTCCAATCTCTGTTGCTAACAAAAACGAAATGAAACAAATGCGAAAAAGGAAAAAGAGAAAAAAAGGGGAAGAAAAAAATAGCCTCGAAAAAAAAAAAAGACAACAAAACAAAGCCAACAAAAAAACAATCCAAACGAGAGAACGAACAAAATCATCCTAACGAACCACTTTGTAAAATTAGTCGAGGGACTGGGCGAGCAGACAAAAAAAAAAAAAGTATAAAAATAAAAAATAGGAAAAAAAGAGGCAGACAGAAGGTGGGGGAGGGGGCGGGAGGTTGGTACAAAAAAAAAAGAAAAAAGAAAAAATATAGAAGAAATGTATGATCGAGTTTAATTCGATTATTTTGCAAATGCACGCCTGGGATTCGCGAGGAACGAGCGCTTCAACTCGAAAAGTTTGAAACTAAGCGGCTAATAGCGGTCGTTTATCAACCGACGTTAATTGGAATGCACCGTTAAGCGAGCATGACGATGGCGTATGGTGTCTCCCTTGTGTGCAAACGCTTTTCCTCATCTCGTGAAAACAACGTCCCGCGAATCCAAACCAACTTCCATTCGCGTTCTCTACCGCGGACAATGATCAAACGAGATCAAGCGTTATTTTTAAAAGCAAGAGAAACAAACGTAAAAAAAAGAACCCAGTTTTCAACTCCCCATATCACCTACCCTAGTTCTTTTTTTTTCTCCCACTCTTTTCTCTAGGTAAATTTAACGAAAGGAAAGGATGTTAGCAAAAACCTGATGGTTGCATTCGACCGATGTAAAACGCGAATTTCTTTCCCCTTTCTTTTTCCTCCTTATTTCTTGTTGGTTTTATTGTTTTTTGTTTTGCGTTTCCTTTTATTTATTTATTGTTTTTTTTTGTTTACTTATTACGAACGCGTTTTACTCAACGTCGGCAATTCAGATCGCGACAAAAATATTCGTTTCAGGATGAAAAATTAAATGCCTACCGAGATGATCTCGATGGAATGGATGATTCCATTAATTCGCATTAAGTCAAATCCTAACTCGTCTAGCTCGTCAAATTCGAATAAAGATAAGAGACGAAAAAAAAGAAAAAAAATAAATCAAATTACGATTCGATAGGCGTTCGTTAAAGTGAAATAATATATCGTATGTGTTAGAAGGGTGATAAAGGGGAACAATAGGAAATCAAATTTGCCAAGCCCTTGTTCTGTTAGGTTTTTTTTCTTTTTCTTTTTTTTTTTTCCAACAACATTTTTATTACCAACGACGGATAAAATAGAACTATGGGATACTGTTGGGTGTCATCATCGATCGGCGTCAAGGTGCTGCCTTCCCCTTTAGTTGGCGAAATATCGCAGCAAGCAAGCAAGCAAGCATGCATGCAAGCAAGCAAGCACCGGGCGTGTCTCTCTTCTCTTCTCTTCTCTTCTCTTCTCTTCTCTTCTCTTCTCTTCTCTTCTCTACTCTTCTCTTCTCTACTCTTCTCAACGAAACGACACTATCGATTAGTCCAGCCGGATCCACTAGGATGGAAACTGAAAGAGACGAACGATTCTTTTCCAAATCGTCGAATAAATCACATTAACGTTGTTTCGCGGAATGGATACGAACGAACGAACGAACGACTATTGGGGAAAGTATAACTTTGGAGAAGAATTGATTACTTTATTCCTACGATGTTTTCAACATTTTTTCAATTCGTTCGCGTTTTATTGCACGAACTGCTGCTGCTGCTGCTGCTGCTGCTATTGCTAATTTTCTTATTTATTTTTTTTTCCTTTTTCTTCTTTTTTCTATCACATTATTCCTTTTTATTCTCCTACTTCTTTTTTTTTTTCTTTACTATACGAACACGATTAACGTTTTAAATTGAGCGTAAATCATGTTAGAAATGTAATGTAATGTAATGTAATGAAATGAAATGAAATGAAATGCGTTCTACCTTCAATCAAGAAAGAAACGCGAGTTTGTCGAATTGATTTAATATTTCTTTTTTCGCAAATTTAAGATTTAGATCAATAAATGAGTTCATTGACTGTAAAACCTTTAGATACAATAATTATTTATCAGGAGATAGTATCGATTGCTAAAGCCTTTGAATTATTTCGCATCGGTTGGTCATTAGGTACTATCCACTATACTAAATCGAACTTTGACGACGTGCTATAGACATTGTGTGCGTTTAAGAAGAAATCGATTTATCAAATGCTATAAATATTTTCCGAATGCATGCACGAGTGTTTTCATTGGCACGAAACGTGTTTTATAATATTATTCAAAAGATCGGAAGAACACCACCCCAATACTACCATATTATTATTATTATTATTATTATTATTATTATCGAGAATAGGTAAAGTTAAATTCGATATTTTTCAATAAGGTAACGAGGGAAAAGTAAAGTAACCACAGAAAGGAAAAGAAAAAGGTAGAGCAAACTAACGATTGAAATTTTGTTGCCTTTACCCTACCCCCCCTGTCCCCCTGTCCCACCACCCCACCCCTCTTGTGGATATATTATTAGTAAATTAAATTTAATTTAGAAACACAAGGTTGTGTCAGTGAGTAGTAAGAAATCGATATATGCCAGGTGCACAAATGTTTCTCGATATGCGAGTTCATTCGCGCATACTGTGTGCTCAAATCTCTTCCGTGTTCGAGCTTATCCAGAATTCGTATTCCATGCTTACATACGTGTGGGATACAATATTTACCTGCGGACGGTTTCTAGCAATATTTACTTAATCAAACCAATTCTTTTCCTACCTTTTCTCGTTGAGAGAACTAAAGGCTGAATGTGCCGCGATTGGTCTCTCTCGCTCCCTTTCCTTCTGTATATGTGTGTGTGTGTGCGTGTGTATGTATTGCTTGAGTTACACAGACGACGACGTATTTGCTTAAATTAGGATATAGTTACGAAAGGAATAGTTGATTAATATACGAATCTATCCATTTGTCCGTTTGTTTGACCAATTAGACGATTATTTAAATTTCATATACGAAATTTACAATTGTAAATTGTCTTGCAATTTTCTTCCATCTATATAATATCTCTTTCTTTGTATTAATTCGTAGATATTTTAAACGAAGACAAAAAAATGTAATGAATTAGAGTCGTTAATGTGATATAACAAGAATTACATCGGTAGAAAATTATTCAATAATCCAATTAATTCAAATCGTTTATCAAATTCTCTGATCAACAATAAAAAAAAAAAAAAAAGAAAAAAGAAAAAAAAAGAAAAAAGGGAATATAAATTATAAAAATTACGAAGATAGAAAACTGGGGCACGGAATTAATGAAATATGAAGATATTCCGCTTGATATTTCGATCGAGACGAGATAAAAGAGAATGAGAAACGGAGAAAGAGAGAAACACAGAGAGAGAGAGAGAGAGAGAGAATAAATAAATAAAAAAGAAAAGAAGTATATAAAATAAAAAAGAAAAAAAGAAAAAAATGTGAAAAGACAGAAACGAATTTCTTTTCTACGTTCTCTGAACGTTCGAGAAATTAT